TTGTGTGGATCAATCCCCAAATTTGGCTCTTTAAATGATTACTGACGGAGTTTGAGTTTTTCTATTTTTTATGGAAACAAACAATACTTCTATGAACATTCTGGTATCTATTTATTGGTCATAAATTTTAGTCCTAGGCTAGCATATCTCCAGCTTTCCCAAATGGTTCCCAATTGTTTTCCGAAGTGGAGATTAAATTTTTACCATAGAAAACTAAGATTTCCTTTCCTTGCATCACTTTCCTTCTCCCTTTTCTTCCAGTTTATTTGTATAACAAATCTGGTTAAAACAAACTTCCATGTTTATTCTGGCAAAGAAAATTTGTTTAAATCCAAGTCATGTATCTATGATTTTATATATATATATATATATATATATATATATATATATATATATTTTTTTTTTTCCTACAAGAGAAAAACTTTTTATGTGTGTGGGGGGGTATTAATAATTGCTTAGTTACTTTTTGTTTGACTTTCCATGGAACCGTCATTCATTTATCCTTATGCTTTCCTGGAACGACAAAGTCCTATAAATATGGTAAGATAGCAGTCAGTCTCTGTTCTGTTTTTTTCCTTGGAACTATTCTTTCTTTGCTCTTCTGCTCTGACCCAGACTGACCACCTTGTAGACTGGTTGAACATAAGCCACCTGTCCCTGCCATCATCTTGCAAATCGTGTTTGAGTCTTTCCTGTTCTGGATTCACCTGTTTCCTGGTTTTCTTAATTTCCTCCCTTAGTTTGCTTAAGCATCCTTTGGTGGAGTAGCTTTACATTCTACTTTTCCTCAATGTCACCTTCAAAATTCTGTTATTATATTTTATTTCTGTGAACATATTTTCAGTTAACCAAGGTGCTTTCTCAATCTTTGACTGCTTCTTTTGTTCACATAGCATTCTGTTTTTGCTTCTTGTTTCTTGTTGCTCTTGGAAAATTTATTTTAATTTTCTTGAATTTTACTTGTTCCCCCTGTGCCTTTTCTGTTTCCTAAGTTCCCCTGTTTGTTTGCTCGTTTGCTTCAGGTTCTGTCTTTAACGTTAGACGTTTTCTTAAAGGGTCTACTGGCCTTAGTCTGCTAATTCACGTTGAAAAGTGCGGCAAATGGGAAATTCTACTTACGTGGGCAGAATGAAGCAGGCATACAACTCATTGTGATGAGAACCCTCCTCACCCCTGTATTGATACCCATGGGTATCTTCTTCTTGAACTGATTTTTTTCCCTGGAACAGAATCTTCAATATTTTGCCTGGGATGTCTAAGGCTGCTAGTTGCTATTTTGGTTGCCGAGCGTGGGATGAGGGGTAAATTCTGACTGCCCATGAGGCAGATGTTTCCTTAATCCTTTGATTCCAGTAAGAGACCTCATTTCCACCTTCAGCCTGTCCTCATTGTGACCAAGTCCATGGATAATCTGGCACAACACTCTAGAGAATAAGCCACCTGTCTTTTAGCTGGTTAGGGAACAACCACCCATTGTACAGGCTAGAGATGGATGCTAGAGTCTAATCTTTTAGAGTTTGAATCAATTCTTTTATTTTTGGCCTCACTTCAGACCCTGGCCTCCAAAGGTACCTGCCACCTCCAATTCCTGAGTCACTTCTGAGATGTGGAACATGGTACCCTGCCTCCCTGGCAGACATTTAGCAAAGAGAACTGAAATCTGAGTAAGTTGTCCTGTACCATCTGGTGTTTATCTTACACAATGTTAGTAACATTTCTAGTCATCTTGTGTCTGCCTTTCATCTCTGTCCTCGTGGGTTTATACCATTTTTTAATTTTTTTTTGTCATTTTAATGGAGTGTTTGGAAGGATGACGAGAAAAGCATATATGTTTAATACACTATTTTTAACCAAAAGCTTTACCCTTCGCTATTGTTAAGGTAACATGATACATGAGATATATATACAGATATATCTATATATACTGTATATATAGTAGACATTACTGAGTGAATAGGAGTTGAGGAAATAGAGATACATCATCATCACACCATCACACATACGTGCAGTAGCTGCTCTGGATGAAGTTTCTGACGCGTCTCGAATTACCAGCTTCAAAGGTAGCTTCTCATTCTCCCATTCCTCTTATTCACATCCCATCCATGTTTTTGCTTGGGCTCCCCTGACTTCCGTGGGACGGGTTGCTCTTGCTCCCTGCAGCCTCCTGAATTTCTCTGCCCACTCCTCTTGCCTTGGTGACCCCTGTTGTTTTATTTCTCCATCTCTTCTTTCCTTTTTTTTCCCCCCTACTTTTTCTGATTCTCCTTGGGCATTTCATTCATCCCCTTTAATTGGCATCTCTAAACCACTCGAAGCACACTTTTGTCTTTAACCCAGATAGACGTAAGTTTCTCCACGGATGCTCCATGGTACCTGAAGCTCATTATATCCCAAACAGAATTCTTTCTATCCTCAGAACTCTTTCCTTCTCTGCAGTTCAATTGCTGTCTCTCTTTTCCCTTATTATTTATCTAAGTCAAGGATCAGCACATTTTTTCTATAAAGCCCAGAGAGTAAATATTTTAGCCTTTGTGGGCTGTAGGGTTTCTGCTACAACTACCCAACTGTGCTGTTGTCGTGAAAGGCAACTATAGTCCATATGTAAACAAATGGGTGTGACTGTGTTCCAATAAAACTTTACTTACAAATACAGGCCAGCAGGCTGGATTTGACCCTGAGCCATAGTGTGCTGATCTCTGATCTAAGTTCATGATCATTCCAGCCAGAAAACTCTAAATTGAGCTTTATTTCCACATCAACCTGGTCAGTGTGTCTGGATGACTATCTTTTCAACAGACCAGACCTGTTTCTACCATCCCCACACATTTCCTGTCTCAGAACCTCAGCTTTTTGACCTGTCAGTTGCAGGAGCTGTTTATCCAGTCTCACTGCTTTCTGCCTTGTAGTCCTCTGATCCTGCTCCACACTGCTTCCAAAGTAGTCTTACAAACACCGAACTCATTTTGTTATTCCTTGTTTAAAATACTCAGGGCTTTGCAAATATCTACACTCTAGGACTTCCCCAAGTTTAGGTCCATAAGAGCTATTTGAAGTCTTTGTTAAATTAAATACTTCTGGGCCTCACCTCACAGGTTCTGATTGGAGGAATCCAAGTTGGAGACCAGGAATCTGTGTTGTAAACAAGACATCCCAGATGAGCCTGTGGTGTGCAGTCCTCAGACATTTGAGAAACACTGGTCACGGGGGAGGGCAAGCCCCACTGCGTAGAACACGGCCGCTCCCCGCCCCGGCTTGCCTATCTCTCCAGCCCTACCTCTCATGGCTCTCCCTCAGCCTGCTAGGACTCAGGCCCTTTCCCTGAACTGGCCATGTTGCTTTACCCCTTTTGGTTCTCCCACTTGACATTTAGCCAGCTGTGCCATGGACACTTTGTTTGACAAACTTCCTTTAAGGTCAAGTAACTGACTCTTCCGGTGAGTTTCCCTAAACTTCCCGATTCTTACCATGCATGTATCTGTATACCAGTACCTATAACTTGTTAGCTGCCTTGTTTGCTTGTCTCCCTTATTAGACTGTAAATTTCTAAAAGGCAGGGATTATGTCTTCTGCATTTGTGTATGCCTATATGTTAGAGGTTACACTGAAATTATATAGTAAGTACACTAGAAATTTGTTGATTTGATAAAAGAATTAGACTGGGGATATTAATATATATTTTAATAACATTAACCTGAGATAATTAAACGGAGGCTCTGAGATGTTCACTGACTTGTTTGAGGTCACATTGTCAAAACAACCAAGGACATATTTTTCCTTCCTTCCTTCCTTCCTTCCTTCCTTCCTTCCTTCCTTCCTTCCCTCCTTCCCTTTGGTGATTTTTCCATTACACATGCTGCCTTCTTAACATGATGCACTTATTCCCTGTGCTCACATGAACCTTGAATCCTGGAAGTGTCCAGTGGGATTTACCAATTTGGGTATATTTATTCAGTCTGTTGATTACTTAATGTTGTCATTTCTGAGGATGACTAATGACCGAAAGCAAGTCATTCAGAATCATTGCTCTTATAAAGAGCTAGGCCTCTGCGCTGTTTGGATTTCTGGCCATTTCCATCTTTTGATTTTCTTCTAAGAATCTAAATTATATTTATTCTGCCTACTCTCTATAATAAGTTGTGTATGCATTATTATTATTGTAACTTGACAGCTGACTGTTCAAGAGAAGGTAGGATCTCGTTGGTGACGGCTTAAAGAGAGTAACACTTACCCTTGCTCTTCCTGTACTTCTCACATAGCCCCTGGAACTCTGAACACCTATATCTCAAATGCTCAGCTGAGATTAGGCAGCTGAAATCCAGCAAAGGTCAGGGATCGCTCAGAAGGGTCTGGAACACTAGGCTGGGTTTAACATCATTGTATGGGAAAAGAGTAAATGCTAATTCTTGGTTATTTTGGTCAGAGAGAAAAAAGGGATCATGTGCTAAGAGACACAACACACGAGCCTTGAGGGCAGTGAGTTTCTGGTTACTCAGTACTCATTTCATTTTGCCTTGTATTAAAATTTTGTTATTATTTCTGTCTCCTATCAAATAGGAAACTTGCATTTTATTAATTTCATCCTACTTCACACATAGCAAACACTCAAAAGAAGCTTGTGAAATGAAGCGAGTGATCCCAAAAGCTCATTTCAACCTTTCCCCTTTGACCTTTGGTCCAATAATTATCAACCAGGGAAATGCTCCAAAGGCAGGCAACCAGGGATAGGAAGACAGGAGGGGCCATCGCAAACTATCAACCAGATCATCAGCCTTGGAAAATTGAATGTCTTGTGTGTATATCTGGTTATTCACAACAATAAAACACAACAATAATGCAGCCTGGAGACCAGAAATTTAACAACTCTTATCCTTCCATGATCATTGTATGCCTAACATAAATAATGTCTACCCATAACATTTGTATAACCTTTAAACACTTAATAAATTGGTATTTAATAAATTATTGCCTGCGCAGTGAAAAATAAGCTGGTCTTTTTTTTAAAACAATTTAACTTTTTATTGATTTTGTTTACATAATAAGGAATCAGCAACTACAGTAGTTGCCACTTTAAGTGACCACAAGAAGACAAAATACATAGCTATTTTACATGTTTATATTACAATTTTATAGAGTTAACTACAGCATACCCATGTTTTGCTACAACCTGAATTCCTTTGGCCATATTGGTTTTAATTATGTCCAGAAATCATATTTGCTTCTTACCAACTTTTATCAGGTGTTAACATTTTCAAATCAAACATTTTTAGAAAAGCTACTGAAAGCAATTTCGTTATAAATAGTCCATGTACATACTCTTTGCGTGCGGTTTCAAAATTTGGCAAGATGATTACAGACCACAGTCTGATATGGAAAAGGAAAGGGTATTGGGATGTAAATGAGGAAGAACCAAAACTCAGTACATGGTAATAAAAATGATCTAAAACTTAAGTGGGAGTAAAAAATATATTAGTTATCCAAAGTTAATTTAAAATCCAAAGTTTGAAATGTCTTTTGTGTTGACAAGTGTCTGAGAAAGTGATTGGGAAGAAACTAATAAACAAGACCGCGAGTGATCTGTAAATAGAATCCATGTGGCATGTGAATTAATTATTGTCATTTCTTTTTGGCCACATCTTGGGGTTTTGGTTTGCTGTATTGTCACATTAGATGCTGGCAGAAAACAACATTGCTAGCTCATTTCCAGCACGTGGCCCAGGGTTACTAAAGGGGAAAAAAAAAAAAAAGTAGAAACTCTGCTATATTTTAAGACAGAGTTAAAGCTCTTGGGCCCAATTTATTCCTGCAGTCACTCTGAGAACATTGCACTGTGTTTTGCTGGAACAGAATCAGGACCTTTTGCATTGATGTGACGGGGCAATGACGAACGTCAGGCTAAAAATGGGAATCCGTCCCTGTGGGTTTCCTCCCACCCCACCTCATTTCCTCTCTCTTCCGTTCTCTCTTGTACATATTTTCACACACATATCATCCCAAGTTAACCTAAGGCGCTTTGCTGGGGAGATGAAAGAATTAGGCAAGAATGCACAAAGAAAGAGGTCCTTACAGTCCCCAAAAGCACTTTTGCCTGTATGTGACAAAAAAGCACCACATCAAAAACCGTTTTTTATTAGTTATTTATAAAAATGATCTAAAAATTAGTAATAAGCTTTACAAGTAGTTGTTAAATTGATTAATTTGTGTGATTTCAAAAAACAGTGTTTTAATTATCATATTACACCTACGCCAGAGACCATTTTGACTGCAGCAGGTGGGAGAGGACCCTGCTTTCTCCTGCGCCCTGTGGGCCCTGCTCCAGGCAACTCACGTCCTGTCCCTTAGGTGGTTACTGGCATCTCTCCATTGTAAAGGTACTAAACGCTGGGGCTGGCCCTTTGTTGAATCATCTGCATGTCCTATAATTGTAGCTAAGTACTTGCAGATGACAAAATAAACAAATAGTGTTTCAACTACAGTAGTGAAAGGAGAATATTTTAATAATCTTGGAAAAAAATCATAGGTAGCATTTTCTTCGCAGAATACATGAGTAGGAGACTTCAGTCTTTTGGGAAAGCATTCCAAACCTTCTCTCTCTTTCCCTTTGTGACATTTGGCCTTATCTGAATGGAGATAGATTAATGATTTTCAAAAACCTCAGTCTCTCTGATGCTACCTCCTGATCCTTTAATTATGTTTCTAATGTGAAAAAAAAAAAAAAAAAAGATACACCAGCTAAACTTGCTTTCACATTTTATAGTCCAGCCAGTGGTTTGACACCATGAATTAAGAAAAGGTTCTTTTAAAGGATTTTTTTAAATTTTGAATTGAGCCATTTAAACTTTACTTAAAGATTCCATTTTACAGTGACACAATTTTCCTTTATATCAGATTCACATGAATTTAAAACATAAACCTCTTGAACAGGAATTCAGAGTGAGTTCAACCTAAACCTAAGCGGTGCAGGAATGTACTGGAAGTTATTAAGAGCTACACTGGAGTGCTGGCTGTGTAAAATTAAGTGCTTTCACGAGGAGGCTTTCTTAATTCTCAAGGCTTTTGTTTTCTCAGGCAATAAATAGCTCACAGAGAGTCATGGGTCACTGTGAGTGTTAAGAAAATCATCACTCTTACACTTTTACATTGTTTTGTGCAAGCACACAGTTGTTTTGTTTTGGCAAACGCCTCCTTGTTTTAGTGGCTTCTGTCCACAATAAAGAAAATGAAATTAAGTGACTATTCCTTCTCCTAAGATGAGCTGTATTTATTACTGGAGCGGAAGTTGTCATATCCGTGATCATTAGCTTTGAACTTCAGGCATGACTGCTTTTCCTCCAAGGACTGTTTTTCTTCAAATGACTGGCACCAGCAGCATAGGCATGACTGTACCGAGCAAAGTAACTCGTTAGCCGTTCACATCAGTTACTGTCATGACTCTTCCTACTTTCTAGGGTTCTGACTGTCTGGGCACGATCGGGAGTTCTTGGCCACTTCCTTTCCATGCTCTCTTATTTTTCCCTTTAACAGCATATAATTACACAAGTAGTATATGATATTTTTTTATACTAGAAAATACAGGGAAAGAAATGTATATCACTAAAACTCACCTTTTCATTAAAATTAAAAGGGAAAAGCACTCATTCTTGATATTTACTCTTGCTTACTTGAGAAATTCTCTTAATATTTGATAAATATATAACTCAAGACTTCTTCCTATGCAAGTAGAAATATTACCACACACCATACATATAAACACATGACCGTGTATGTGCATGTGTGCATGAGTGTGTTATCTTAATAAAATTGTACTATATGTACTACTCTGTAGCCTGATTTCTATGTCAGTGAATTTAATGTTGTATTGATGTTTTTGTCAGCCACGTGTTATGCTCGTGTGCCTTTTTAATACCGTCACACAATGAACTTAGAAAGTACATTAATGTCTCGGTTTGATCCATCCAATTTCTTTTCTTGGATTTTTTTTAAATCCCCAAACTTTGTTCATACTGTTTGCTTTCTGAGGATCTGTATGTATAAGGAACTGGGAGGTCCATTGTTTTCTGTTCTCTAGAAAGAGGGAGTCGATCTTGATGAACGTTCTCTTCTAGCTCTATAATTCATGAGCTTATGAGTGGGCAAAGAACTTAAGACTGATTTAGATGTTTTGAGGAAGCTGAGTTCTTTCCAGTAATGAGCTACCAGGGACAAATGGATCATTCCCATATAAGGGAAGGGAATATGTCATTCATATTAGATTGTCGAAGGAGTGAATGAATGGATGGATGTTACAATGCAAGTGGCCAAACGAAGAATAATACACGTATTCCACATCAAGTAGCACAACTCTGCTCTACAAGCAAGGTGGCAAAGAGGAGGTAGAACCTGAATTACATGTCTCCATTAGACTTGCTGTTCTCATGTCCCATATGAAAAAGATACTAAGTTAGTTATAATCCAAGCCATGCTGCCTTAGTCCAAAACCTACTGAAAATGGGAACAAGGCATTTAACTCATGTTTAGCTCTTATCGTATGACATCTGTCAGACATCAATGCATGTCCTTTTTGTTAATTTTCTGAGCATTTCTCCAAGTACAACTGATTGGTTGAGGCAGAAGGGAGTGGTTGATGAGGATTTATAGGCAGAAATCAACTAGAGTGAGTTTTGAGCAGAAGTCATATTTTAAAAAATTATCTGTGATGTAACGCAAGGGAATACTGTAAAATAATTGACTAAATCTCTTTAGATATAAATCTGAATCATTTGGAAAGGTTATATTTGATGCCAGGCTAAAAAAGAGCTTTTTTATTTTGAAATACTCTCACCTTAAAGCAGTTTTTGAATCTTTTGCTCACCAAATACAGAGCTATAGGATTAATGCAGGAATTCAGGGAGGCCATGTTGATGCCAATGTAGTCCAACACCAACAAAAAGCTGTAAGAAACATTCCAAAACATGTCTTTGTTGCTTTAAGCCTATATTCCTTGCAAACTCTTGAGCTTTGGGGGAAAAACATCACTCATATACAATAGTTTGACTTTATCACTGGTCTTTGCTCATAATGATCTCTCTCTCTCTGTCTCTCTCTGTCATCATGCCCCTCCCTCCCATGCCCAATTCTCTCTTTGACAATAAAATCTCATTCGGAAGTGCTGAGGCTGGCTGAGAAGGCTTTGCAAAGTGCCAAGGAGAATCGGAGCTTATATTTTCAATAGTGCCACCCACTCAACATTTCGATCATTTTATGATCGAATGGAGAGAGCTCTGCCTCTCGATTCTCAGTGTTCTTATTAGTCTGCTTTATTCCTTCCTCTACAACAGGAGTGAAGGGGGAAAAGTGAGAATCGTAACTGCTCCCTAAAGACTAGCAAAATGGTACTCTGTCTCTGCAAGGGACCAGTGGAAAAAAACTTCTGAATGGCGTTTACCTACAAAAATCGGTCTAGTTTACTTTTCTTACCTCAAAAGTTCACATCTATTAGGATCATTCTGATCATAAAGAGTGAGCTTCAAAATCCTGCTGAGGTGAAGGGGAAGCCAGCACAGGGCAAAGACGAGGACCAGGCAAAAGACCGTTTTGGCCACTTCCCGTCTCTGTAATAAAACCATAGTCAGGGACTAAATAGAGGATTCAGATAATCACAGTGTCCCCACTGCCCAAACAGAATATTTAATATTGTTTACAAAAAGCCAGTGGCATTTGTACAAATTCAGAACATCAAGCCTTAAGTCAAATAGTTGATGTGAATTAGAAGTAAAGTGACTAGAGATTCACCTTAAAAAGGTAATGGATCTTTCTAGATCTTTTTAGATTACGTAGAACAGAATTATCTCTCGATAGATAATATAAAAAATATTCTTTGTATTTTCAAAAATACTGGAAGCAAGAGAAAGGAAGTATGGGCTAGTGTATAATAATTTTAATTTGTTGTCATTGTAATAATTTTCTTATTCATAATTATAATCGTGAGTCGGCACATATTTCTATTTTCTTACCTGCTTTAAGTGGTCATTTAAAGCAATCTGCATGCCACTCTTCTTTCTCAACATTTCACAGGTCATCAGTGTATAAAAAAATGCAGTGATGGCCAATGGCAAGCAGAAATAGAAACTAAATAGCCACCAATCTTTAGCTGTCTTGTAAAACTATGGAGAAGAGAAAATTCTATGAGTTAACATTCCTCTGTAAAAAACATCTTCTACACCACACGTTAAATTAAAAAAAACAACAACATACTCATCTACTTCTAAAGTAGATACATTTCCTAAACACTATATAGAATATTTCAGGCCACATCTACTGAACAAATAACTAAATACTTATACTAAGTATAACAAACATTCCTTAAAGGGCATTTCAATTCTCTAAGGCAGTGTGCTGTAATTATGCTCAAGAATTTAGGCAGTTGGGCAAAATTAAAAATATTTGGTAATTCAAATATTTTTACCTTCACATAAGCAAATTATCCTTAAGCAAAAACATTCTTAAGGTACTCTTCTTGTGAAATACCACATCTGAATATGTGAAGACATTCTAGTGTTTAAGGGAAGCATTCACTTTTTAACAAGTGTGTTTCCCAGACAAAAATAGATGTGGAAAGGTCTGCATTAATTATTTAGCTAAGAAATGTATGAATCTCACTTATCAATTAGAAAATCAAAGCTGCTTATGACTTAGGCTTTTTTTTTTTTTTTTTTTTTTTTTTTTTTTTTACTTTATTTCTGCTCTATCTTTTTTTCCAACTGTGTTGGAGCAGAATTTATGTAATCTATGCGGAAAACTTTTTCCTTTTAACTAATAAGAAACAAGAAGATTCTCAATTTCACATTAATGTCCCTCTTTTTTCTTAAAAAAATTTTTTTAACATTTATTTATTGACAGAGCATGAGTAGGGGAGGGGCAGAGAGAGAAGGAGACACAGAATCTGAAGCAGGCTCCAGGCTCTGAGCTGTCAGCATGGAGCCTGACGGGGGGGCTCAAATCCGTGAATCACGAGATCATGACCTGAGCCAAACTCGGACGCTTAACCGACTGAGCCACCCAGGCACCCCACTTCTTTTTTCTTTTAATTACCGGGATACATATAATCCCTAAAGTTGTATATAGTCTTCTTATATGTGAAATAGAAAATAACCATTGGTGACACCTGCATTAACGCCTCTTAATCCATTCTGTTGGGAAGAGTCTTTTATACTCAAGATCTGTCTTCAAATACCAGCATTGCCATTTTCCCCCATTTCCTGATTCAACGTTCTTGAATAAATGGTCAGGACGAAAAATTCTTTGCAATGGCAGCTTTCCCTTTAGATAGAGGGCAGGCTTGCCATTCAGAATCCTTCCACATCCGGGCATCTCCTACTTGATCACTCACTGAACCATCCACTCCCTCTGATGGCTGCTGCGTTGTCTTATGAGGAATACGTAGTAGTTGGCAGTCCTTATGGAGGAGACGAGTAGAAAAGCTATACGTCCAAATCGATCCTCTCATGTGAACTTGCTTTATCTGTATCCCTGAACACCAGGGAATTCTTGTGGAAGTAGTGACCTAGCTTTCCACAGCATGGGTCATTAGTCACCGTT